ATATCAGGGAGAACGTACGCAGAGCCTAATTTTTTCTCTCTTTCTTTTTTCTTTTGGATCGCGTCACAAAGTCGGCTGATTCGGGGAGAGCATGGGCAATGGGCATGATTGATGGAGGATAAAATAAAAATAGACCTGACGTCACTGGTTCTGCGTACCGCCTCGTCACTGCGGTGTCACCACAGCCTTTCACAATCATTCGCTCATTCTTTCTTGCATGGAGCTTGCAATGCTATAAATTACGCACCGACTCTCATTACTCCAAGTTTTACTATATACCTATCTCTCCTCCTTGTTACACCTTTCAGTCGCACCATGGACACGATCCTCAATAAAGCAGGGAAGAAGCTTTTCGAAAAGAATCTTGAACGATATCAACCTGCGGACCCGCTGTACGAGCACTATACGGACGCGAAAGGAAAGCAGAAGCGGCGAAAGGTGCGCTATCTGTGATGACTATCATATTTTAATTCGTGAAAGCTGACCCTTTTCTTTCATTTCACCAGCGCGAACTCCCGCCGGGTCTCTCTAAACGCGATGCGCGTATCCTCCAATCCGTCAAAAGACGTGCCCACTATCTCGACAAAGGTTTCAACTTCTGCGGCATGCGCTTTGGATGGACGTTCTTCATCGGACTTATCCCTGTTGTCGGCGACGTGGCCGACGCTGTGCTGAACTACGCGCTTGTAGTACGTGTGGCACGGCGTGCAGATATACCCAACTGGCTCCTGCGTCGTATGCTGCTCAACAACGCCGTCAGCGCAGGTGTTGGCATCATCCCATTCGCAGGTGACATCGTCCTTGCAGTGTTCAAGGCGAACTCTCGGAACGCAGCACTCCTTGAAGAGTTCTTGAGGATCAGGGGTGAGGAGTTCATCAAGATGAGTGGGGGAACGGAGCATCCGGAGGACCAAAAGAAGAGTGGGATCTCTGGTTGGTTTGGAAGGGGGAAGAAGAAGACGGCCACTGCAGCCGGAATACCAGCCTCGGATATCGAGCAAGTTAAACCTGGCTCGGGGATGACTGGAAAAGAGGCACACGACATGATACCACCACAAGTCACTGTTCCACATATCACAACGACGTCACTGGCGCCTCCAGAGCATTCCGGTGGAGCTACGCAGCCATCGAATGGATCGTCTGCTAAGACATCACCGAAGTCTAGCGCGTCTAGCTTCAGCTTCACATTTGGGCGGAAGAAGAAGAGTACGAGCCCACCGGCTCTTTCTCCGAATGGCGTGAAAGGGAGGTTCGTCGAAAACATGGACTTGACACCTTCGCCTGCGTAACCTTCACATTAACCGTACGTTCCTTCGTTCCCTCTTTTGACTTTCATGTTGCTGAATCCTCGCATTTAGCGCATTAGCTTTTGACCCATCCAGTTTGCTTCTGTAGCTCGATATGTCGCCCAAGACGATTATTGCCATGGACTCCTATACCCATACGAGTACTGTAAATTTTCTAATATCCATCGTGTACGTACCCTGTACGTGTTCTCAATATAATGACATTTTGCTTTTTGATCGTACATAATTTTCGAGCAAGGCGAATGCGTAACAGGGACTATTTACGCATGATTAACGCCTCCGGTCGAACTTTCTGTTGTATTTACTGCCAGTGTACACGCTTGTGGCTGGATCGCAGCATTGAGCCAAGTCCAGGAATTTCTCTGTTGTCCCAGTCCACTACAGCATTCGTTATCATCGCTTATCTCGATTATCGTCTGACACGCGCCCACGAAGTTTGGACCCGGGCTTCCCTCGTCCTTGTCGTCAAAAATCTATGGCGTCGATGTACCCTCCAACCAACGTACTAAGGCTTCTCGGCTTTCATAATGTACTTCATGGCAAGTCAGGCTCGGTGATACGTGCTAGGCTCACCAAAAACTTGTCTACATCGCATCTTTCCTATCGACAGCCTGGTTGGATAGTAATGCGGCATTGTATCGGATCACAAGAAAAGCAGGCTTCTGTGTCTCCCGTGCGTCAAGCTATCGGAGACGGCGCTGCAGGCGCAAGTGTTGTGCTGATGGAATGTGCGCTATCTTGGAGCTGGGGCGATTCTGTGTCTTGAGCTTCATTTCTAGTCACCTCCGCCGTTGCGCGCTTTTCTTGTTCGTTCTCGGAAATGGGCCCCGTTTGCATTTTGTCAGCCGATGACTCTGCATCCTTCTTGTGATTTCCAAGAAAACTTTTCTTCTCTTTCGCCACATCCTCTAGATGTTCTGTCCCTCCCTGCTTGATAAACCCCTCGCCTCTAATTCGCAAATATTCTTCCAGTAAAGCTGCGTTCCTCCAATTCGCCTTGAACACCGCAATGAAGACGTCGCCTGCAAACGGAACAAGTCCAACAGCTGCGCTGATAGCGTTGTTGAGTAGCATTTCATGAAGGAGCCAATCGGGGATGTCGGCATGTCTCGCGACACGCACGACGAGCATGTAGTTGAGCACGGCGTCAATTATGTCGCCAATGATGGGGATGATTCCGATGAAGAAGCTCCAACCGAAGTGTAGCCCGCAGATGTTCAGCCCTTTGTCGAGATAGTGGGCACGTTTCTTGACCGATTGGAGGATGTGCTCATCGCGTTGTGATAGTCCTGGTGGGAGATCGCGCTGGGCATGGGCGGATCGTGGAAGGAAATTATTAGGACTCGTGGAGGAGGCATGCCGACAACACGCACGTTTCTTCGCTGCTGCTTTCCATCAACATCGGTATAGTACTCGTATAATGGGTCTGCAGGTTGGTAGTGCTCGAGATTCTTCTCGAAGAGCGCCACCCCAGCCTTATTGAGTATGGTGTTCAATCAAGGGATATCCTTCGATAAATATGATAGTGGAAGTAGCGAAGCAACAAAACTGGGTATGTGGAATCTATACATTGTAAGCTCCAGGGCTGCTAGCAGGGATGTTAGAAGCACGAAAGGATATGATGGCAAGGTGGCTATTTATAAAAGAAATATGAATTCATACTTCACTTCCGTGGTACGTAGTCAAGAAACATGATAAGAACTCATGTTTGACGGACGCCGTGGACGTCGGCATATAGGCTTTCCTGCGATATCATTTAACCAAGCTATTGGCGGTCTTGAACGCGAAATGTATATTCATTTGTTCGCCAGGATTGTCAAATGTACATAGCTATGATTGGGATAAATCATGACTAGAGACGCATCATGTTTTATATCAGGGAGCTCGCTTTGATGCGCCTCTCCTCATAGTTATGCTAACGGTAGTACAGAAGAAGGAAACTGAGAGCAGGATCGTTTTCAGAACTTGAACTTGGAAACGGACGCTTCAAAGTTCAGACAGTTGAGTTATGTTGGAAATTACAGTGCCACTCTCGAGAGTACGCACCAGATATGTAGTGCTGCATGCGCGCTTTTAAACCGGGACGTGTTCAACGTAGAATCAGAGTTGGGGTTGGTCCTGATCCCTGATGAACATGTCCCTGACCGCCTGATTCAAATTGCGGGTGTCGAGGCGATGTTTATTTTTAACAAGCGCCCAATTCATGATCAGGTCAGTGCAGGAATAAACACGGAAATCTAAATTTAGGACGACTACTCGACGAGTGTGCTCAAGTTTATCAATTCGCTGTCATTTTAGCCACACCTATTCTTACGCGCCTGGACGCTACATTGTGCAATAGTAGTTTAAACAAAATCCCAAGTGATTGGAATAAGGCCCGTGCTGAGAGGCGCGAAGAACTCGAAGAGGCCTTCGGTCATATCCAAGTTGTTGGTACCGCAAATAGGACAGCTATCCTTAATAACGGCTGTAGCGGTCTTACCGCCGGCTGAAAAAGATACAAAGTTGTTTAGCACGAGGAAGGAAACGATTGACAATTGTGACGCACATGTGATGGTGATGGATGAACCACATAAAGAGGATGTGAACTGTTCCGTGTTGAGAGCGACGGCGAAGTCACTGTCGGCGATGAATTGACCACAGACGCCGACCTATATTTTTGAACGGAAAGTATGTGAAGACGTAGCTTCCTGGTGACGGGCGTTACTTACCTGAGTTCCTGGGCTGTAGAAAGTGCCTAAAGACGACGAAAGTGGCATTAGACATATATTCGTCTTTGAAAGAATAGAAGGTATGCCATACCTCTACCGGAGAACGCGGTGACAGAGGTCAGGAAGAGAGAAGACACAAAAATGGCGAGTTTCATTGTTGAACTGTAAAGTGTCGAGCTTTCTTTAGGTAGGAGATAGTTCTGAAGATAGTCGCGGAGCTGCTGTTTCTACTGCTGAAAACGAGCTGCCTTTATACGTTTTCAAGGGGGGTGAATGGGGTTACAGAACCAAAAGAGAGAAGTCACCGTCGCTTGGCCGTCGCATAACATATTCAAAATTTAGCCAAGGATGTTAGGATGGGGATACAATATCGATTCCCATCGCGTTGACACGGAATGACTCTTAAAACACACTGCGTTCTTGTGTTTTGCATAAATCGTGCTGTCGGCGTGATCGTGAATCCCACACGTGCCAGTTCGTGTAGAGCGCTCATCGTCGGACTTCAATGTAGGCATCTTTAAACGAGAGCGCTCATCTGATGATCAGAAGTTTCCAGGACTACAGATTTGATATGGGCAACAGGTGGACATTGTTTTATGGTCGCCAATCATCCGTGGATTAATTCTTTGAAAAGATGATGGCAAAAAACGGCGTACTTACGCCTTTGTAGGAAAAATTAGAGCGCCAGTAGAAGCTTAGAAAAACATATAGATTTGCTATGTAAAGCAATTGACTAGATAAAGAGCAATGCTGCTGAGTTAACTCTCTTCTGTTCACATGGCTCACCCTTGCCGAGTCACCGATCGAGTCTATAAAAAGGTTGTGGCTGTGGGAAGAATATCCACGGGCGCCTATATAGCTCTCTCCCATGGCGGAGTTCTCATAGACACAATCGGAGCTATTAAATGCTGCTCTATACTTGTGCATACTATACAAAGAGAATTTTGCCACGCGACGTGCCCTCGTCGACCCAATCGTCATCGGCGCTATAGCCAAGTGGTTACGGCGACAGATTAGAACGCGGTGATCCTCCATTCGACACTACTATCTGTTCCTCTTTGAGGGCGCAGGTTCAAATCCTGCTGGCGTCGTCCGATATATATCTTTTTGGGAACTCGATGCAGCAAGTGCTGAGTACTACTTGGACCGTACTATGTCGCCATTTTCTCAGTCTGGAGCGATAATAGATATATGTGGCTCCAGAGCCTTGGTTTCAACGAAGAAACATGTACAACGGGGGCTAGAGTTAGGTGGGTTGATTTTATTGACAGCGGCCTTTGCATCCCATATGCCTTTGATATCATCGTGTGTAAAAAAGCTGTTTGAAACATATAGGTGATCATGGTAGGGCATCTTATTTCCACTTCAAAGAGAATTGTCCCCGAATATAGATATATAATTCCAGGAGTGATCTCATTACGAGCAGGTTGAAGCAGCTGCTTTGTTGATAACTTGTCAACATTGGCGGACAATCAATAACTTAAGACATGCCACTCAAGGCCACTGCGTGCACCAAAAAGCATAAAATCACTGTGATCTCGAGTTCAAAGGTATTCACAGGCTAAAAGTTCCAGAACTTCAGGAAACAAAAATTGTACCTGTGAATAATCTCGCTCGAGCCAACGAGAGAGACCAAATGGGATGGCACAAGAAACGGGAGGCTCAATGGGACAATAGGATTCGCGCACTGATAACTGTAACTGCGTCTCCTATGGCAGTATGGGAAGGGCTGGGAAGGATGCGCAGGGGACCGGGGACAATGAAAACAACGAAACGTGAGCTTAAACAAGCATATTGGGCCACCCTGTGCAAAGCGGGTATAGATATCGGTCTGATCACTCGTTTTGCATCTAACCATCCCCAACTACCATACTCCGAATGGCTTCTTCGCAAACCACCACTATGCTCAAGTACAAGCGCAATTATTTCGAGCGCGAAGACGGAGGCCAGTCTGATGAAAATGAGTGAGTACTCCATCAGGAAGACTGTTGAGCAATTGTCGATTGATCTATCATACTAGATGCCTTCTAGCTTTTACGCTCGCTCCGGTGTTTGATTGGGAGGCTGGCCCTCGCATGGGCGAAGGCGGACCAACAGGTGGACCAAAGCGACATTGAATGGAGAAAGACCAAGCGGCAAACGCAGAAAGGTCAGCCAAGGCAAATCACCGAAGAAGGGCAATAGATCGAAGCCGCAGAAAGAGAATGCCATGACCAAAAAGAAAACGCAAACAAAGAAAAATACAAAAAGCGTCCAAAAGAATTAACAGGTGAATAAAATTTGTGTATCTTCATATTTTCTCCTTCCATATTATATTTATGTTTGTAAATTATGCGAAGCATCTGTAGAATCTTGCATTGCCTTTCTCGATCAAGATCCTGCCAAATAGGGTGCAAGAGTGGACTTTGAGAAACATTTAAGAGATCTATAAACAACCGGCCTGCATGCTACGACGACGGCCTCGAAAACGCATGGCGAACAAGACTTGATCATCGACAAAGAAACTCAATTATCCTGAAATAAGTAAAAGCTAAAATATAAGAGTCACCAGCGAAACGATAGAAACAACTTGAAGACTGGGAGCCCGCGGAGGAGTTTTTCCCCCCAAGACTACTGTCCATGTCTCGGTATATTTTCAACGACGTGGAGCGCGGTGTGACGATGCTGCACGTCGGATTCTAAAGAAATCGGGCTTTGAGAGTTGGCACGGTTTTCCACACGAGTCAATATTATCTGCCCAAAACCTGTATAGTCATTAGGTTCGAGGAGGAGAGTCATATGAACGCACATCATCCACGTCTCGTCACCACGTAAATATCATCAGGTCGCGATCAACCTCCAAGATTCAGAACGATGGCTTAGCATATAGGAAGAGCCGTAGAGTGTTGGAATAAGCTCGAGAAATCCAAATGCGATCAAATCAAAGCAAGATAAGATTTTCGTTTGACCTCGGTGAGCTCTGAGGCAAACGGATGAGTAGCTACGGTACATCGTGTCCTACTTATACTATGTAAACAAAAGAATCTCGATAAGGTATCATAAGAATGAAGAATGTAACCCCAGACAGAAAGAATAGGAAATTGTAAATGATATACGGATCGAGACGCGCATTGCGCACGCTCGCACAGCCTCCCAATATTCCAACATAGAGAGGATAGCTTGGTGAGTACTTGAGTCATGACGCCTATTAAGGGTGCATGATTGTTTGTATTTGCTGATCCCAGCGTTGCACGCGCGGCCAAGCAATTTGGGCGCTAAAACGAGGTGTTCTCAAGCGCGCGTGGGTATCGGTAAGCAATTCGTGTTTAGGACGTTGCAAATATCGACAACATCAAAGTCTTATCAGTATTCCAACACTGCAGCGTGTATGTGTATCTGAATCAACCGCCATTCGAAGAAGCGCTCGCATAACTTATAAGCGGAAAGGCCAGACCTTTTCTTTAGAGTGCATAATTCGATCGCTTCTCTTTCAAATGGAACAAGATATGTACTCGTAATTCCAAGAACATAGACGTCCTTAAGATAAGATAAATACATCCACCGAACCAACGCCGCATGCTCCCTCAACAATTGTGAAAGCCTAGAGTACAATTCGCAGACGTATCCAGAGCAGCCAATCATAACGACGCGATAACTAATCCCAAAAATTGGAATGGAATCAATACACACCGCACCGCGTGTCGATCTGTATAAATTTAAACGGGAACCTGGGCCCGTATGTCAGCGAATGTGTGAGGACATATCGCAGCCTGAGGCTGTATCTGGCTGTATGCACCAGATCTACAGAACAATATTTTCGTCCTTGAGGCTATATTCTATTCGTTGGCAGTTCTTGGAGTCTGGTCTAGGTCGAGTTGTTACGGTGTGGGGACAGAAAGACCATTGACGACGAAAGGCGAAAGGAAGGCACGTTTGTGGAGACATGAATAGAAAGAAGATGCTCGCTCGCTCGCTAAATTCACTAAAATGAGTGGAGATGGCAGTTGTAAACATCCAGTGGATTGTATCGACCGCATTCTTTCGCCCCCCAATTATCTCAAATGCCCAAGGGAAATCCGGTCTCGGAAGCGTGCACTATGCAGGAGAAGCATTCTTGGATGCATTACCATTGTTTATTCGTTGGCTGTTTTATAGGATCTAGAGCGTATTCCGGTATTTTTAGTACTGAAGAAGGTCAAGAAGTGAACAAGTGAAAGGCACCGTCCTCGGCAAAGGGGTATCAATTTATGTTTGGAAAACCCCGCCGCGACCTGTTGAGGGAAACAAAACACTGTCTCTTGCATTTGATTGTCAACAGGTTTGCATCAAGTCAATAGCATAGGTCGTCTCAGTCTAATGCCATCGCCCGCATTCCATCGATATCCACATCATACACATCCTACTCCACAATCCACTCCATCCCAGACGAACCTCTGAGAACCACAGTCCAGAATTAGCACAACCCCACAGCTATCAATCACAATCAGCAGTCAACAAAAGGTTCTGGGCCACTGGGGATTGAATCAAATCTAAACCTGGGCGGCCTTTAGGTTCGGTTAGACTCTGTTGTCGGGTCTTGCATGAACTTCGATTGGGGCGGTTGACATCGTATCTACTCTACAGATGACGCTATTGAAGGACTCGTGTCTATCTTTGATGTCATTCGAGTACTTGGATGAGAGAGTCTGGGCTTGCATACTTGGGATGCTCGAACACGGTCGCAATGGCGGGTGAATTGAGATTGAGATAGAACCTCCGTTTGTTGCTCAGGTTTTTGATCATGATTTCACTTGCCGTCTTCTACGCTCGTGAGGAGACTTTTTGGTGGTCGGGTTTTATTTAGGAATCTTAGAACGTGGAGTTTTGAGAGATGGTATACTAAGACTGGGATTGGGACCGTTGCATAGGCGCTCGTTAGATATCCACCACGTCGCATCCTACTTAACCACATCTAATCCATCGCCGCCGCCCCAGCTCTGAAGCGCGCCATCCAATCGGAAACCACGCCCGCCGCTGGATGCGACTTGCTGCTGATTTTCGTCAAATCATGATCAGTGCCTTTCAGTGCCGTCCGACGCCTGTGATATTCTTGGCCTTCCAATCATTTCCGCGGGAAGATGTTATTGGCTCGCTGATATTTTGAGCGGTCGTCGTCGTCGTTGGACGCACGCACGCAGCATGCGTCAGCGGGCTTGTTGCATGCATGGTATTGGAACACTTTTTTTTTTTTTCGAGAGTCGATGATTGGCTCGAGGGATAGGCTTCCGCGTGGAGAGAGGGTGGCTTAGTAAATTCGTCGTGTAGTAAGTTTTTACATAGCGGTGGGGATGTAGGACGTTTTGTGTATTGCGAATGTGAAAGGTTTTGGAAGGATGGGTTATGTACGTGCGTGCGTATGCGGGGGAAGAGCGAGGGAAGGGGAGGAGGAGGCATGTTGGAGACCGTAATTGCTTACATTGATGGAGAGGGAAGAATGAATGGAAGGAAGGATGGAATGTATGGAGAATACGGGAGAGCGGGGGTACATAATATAGAAGACTCGGGGACGCATTAATCCTACATACACGTATAAGTGGTGAGAAGGAGAAAATATGCTTTGCTCTTTGATGAATGTTCTTGGAAGCCAGTCGCATGTATAAACGTTAAGGATAGAAAGGAGTTGCGATTCAATATTCAATATTCTACTGTCATGTTTGTCCAGCTGACGGTGTAATTGGTTGCCTCGAGGCTCCAGCGAAATTGGCATATCATTTGCCGTTGCTTGTTTCGCTGATGCAGACATTGAGTGAATTCGACATCTGCACGCACTGGATGGTGACCGGGCTGACTAGTAAAGCTTGGGGGGGAGGGTGATGACCAGCTGAGCAAGCATATACAGGGGCACGCAGTCCAAGTCATGAATGCGTGCTGGTGTCGCCTATATTTATGGAGTTGCGGGTGGAAATTACGAGTTGCAGACCACAGATGACTGATAATTATCTATCCTCAAGGCGTGATAGATTCGAAGTATAGAGCACATAGTAGAAATTGGGAACATCGATAATATGATAGCTAAGCAGCAACAAGGATAACCCCAGGTGCGCAGATAATACGATCTCCAAATGTATAGATA